CTTTGTCGTTAATAACTTATTAAGAAAAGAAGAAATTTTTATGTTTACTCCAAATATTAACGATTGATAATAGAAAAGTAACATTCAATTTATATTTAAAAAAAAATATATGTCATGACTCCCAAAATTCAGTTTAAAATTTTCGTCACGAGTCTGACACGGTATTATAGGTCAAGGGGTTAAAGGAAGCGTTCGGAACTGCCACCGTTGGCTCGAACGCGTCTCTAATCGGTACTGTCGCACGGTTGAGTTCGTTTTCGCGAATGAACTCAAAAACGTGTGAACATTCCTGCGTTCAGTCGTAAAAATGTACTGCTGGCCGTGTATATACCTAAGCATCCCGCCGTGTCTAACGGGTGAACGGAGGGGCCGTTACGCAGCAGGCAGAAGGGGTACCAATAATTTCGTCGAATCGCCGAATAAAATTATCCGTACGGTAATTAACTCTATTATGGCTCACTGGCCGCCAGCATGTCTTTGCTTCGTGAACCGCATCGCCACACCTCGATCTCTTCGCTCATCGTGACTCGGACTTAAACATCATTAAATTCGGAACAACAGTTAGGTGATCTGTGTTGCCTCCTTAAGGCCTCCGCACATTATGACACTCGTTACCCATACACGCATCGAAGCCGAAGCTTCGACTTGCATCCGATGCAGGAAACAGATGGCCGACTCGCATCCTTTTGCTTCTTAACCCCTCACTCAACAATTTATTTCGAATTAAACGTTCTTGATTACGCTGTTTAACTGTTCGCTCCCTAACATGTTTCCACTAGAAATACTTAACATTTTCTGATAAGATATAGGTATACGACACTGTTTAAAACGAAGTTAACGAGACACCGCAGATAGATAACACGTTTGCTAGCAGCGTCACATATTTGTGACGACCGTAATCCTATTTTTTACGTAATGAAAAGGAAATTAATCGTATATATATTGTTATTATAAATTATAAAGTACGACATTGTATTTAGGAACTCAATGACTCGTTTCAGTTTCATTTTTCTAATACTTTGTTTAGAAGATTTATTCAATTGAAGAAAATATTTAATTGATACATTACATACAGTTTAATACGTTTACGCCGGCGCATACCATCAGTGGTTCGCACTTGGATGTTCCGGGCGGCGTGTACCACCGGTGGCTCATAGTAAGATATCACATTAGACGGTGTGTACCAGTGGTGACTCACATTTTCAATGTCACATTAAACGGTGTGTGTCAAATATGTGGTTCGTCAAATGGTTTGGTAATTAGAAAACATTGTCATATTCATGAAAATTAATTTACTTATTGATAACTTCGATATTTTCATCAATCTTGAGAACTCAGCCGTCAAATGGGAAAAAGTGTAAATTACAGCGCCGGTGTGAACGTGTTAATATTAAATTTTATACTTCGTAATTTTGCTGTATTGAACCAAATGGCGACTGAGAAGTGTCTATCGAGTGCAAAGGGTTAATTTTATCATAACCCTGTGGATAGGATTATTTGAAAGAAAATTTAAGTATCGCAGGTTCGATGAAATTTCTTTATGAAAATCAGAGAATTATTTTAGTTACGATACATCATGTTTATAAAGTAACTTGTGAAATGCAGTCTCGAATTGAGAGCACGTACCTTTACGGTCGTGCTACCGTGAATCAAGCGGTGACCGAGAATCACATCCCTCGCAAAGTATTAATTTTGTATTTCTTGCTATGATCAGAAATCCGATTATGACCTGGCTTTAATACAGGAATCAGAATTCCAAGACGTATCCTTTTACTTTTGAATTTTCTATTTCCCGCGATGATTATAAATCCTATTATTAAAACTAACAGTCGGCACCAATGCAACCTGTACCCGTTGCAGAAATGAGAGATCTGAGTCACATGCGTTTGCCTTTTTATTTCGATCTCTCGCAATCATCGTAAATCCCATTATTGGAATCAACTATCAGTAGCAATGTAACCTTATCCGATGCAGCGACCGGGTACCCAAGATCAGACCTTTTGCTGTTCAATTTTATATTTCTTGCAACGATCATAAATTGCATTATTAAAACTAACTGTCGGCATCGACGCAGCCTGCACTCGATATACAGGAATCAGAATCCTAAGCCACATCCTCTCGCGTCTTAACCTCTTATTTCTTTCGATTATCATAAATCCCGCGATCGAAACTGGTACGTCTCGAGGCACGTCTGTATCACACCATAAATTGAAAAGCGATCCACGAAACATGACGTCGATGTGGATAGATAGGTACTTACTTACCAGCGATGCGCAGGTGCCTTCAGCATCGATCTCCTCTCATCGCATCGCGCGCATTTCACCGTATTTTTTCCCGATCTCGCCGCAGGAACGGTTAGCGGAGCGTTATGAAGCGATTAGAATAATTAGCGATCGGGGGGAGAGAGAGAATGCAAACATTGTGGTCGATTCCGAGAATCGCGCGGACGTAAGCGCATTAGTTCCGCTCTGCAAATGGCACAAGGCAACATTGTTACCCTGGCAATAATTGGGTAGAACAGCTCAGGTTACCGGAACCGAGCGAAATCGTTCTCATTTAATGAAAGAACATCTACGTGGAACTTTGAATGTGTTCGGACTTTTATCTTTCGATTCTTTGCTCGTGTACTCGGTTCTCTCAATGATCGACTCCGGGAAATCCATTTTGCGAATGGCACAGAGCAACGTCGTCACTTTCGAAGGGAATCGTTTCGATTCGATAAACGGAGACCTGGAAATTCGAATTTCGATCTTTCTTGTAGCCTTTTAGTCGTATGCTTTGTATGATCCGAGAATCTAAATTATTGAGTCCATGGACAACTGAACAATCTAGAGAAATCTCTTTGAAAATGTTCAAAGAATGTTTGAAACATCGTAATAGCACATAATGAATACATATTTTATATTCTTTTATTAAATTTCCATTTTGACAGTTTGCGAACACTTTGTGTATAGGACACAATAAAGGAAGTCAGTAAAATTAACACATATGGAGGTGTACTAAAATAAGTGTTTGCAAGCTACAAACATTTCATAGGAAAGAGTTAACCCTTAGGGGACGACAATTCTTTAACCCTTTGCACTCGGGAGGTGACTTCCAGTCACCAGTTGATTTGACGCAGTAAAACTATAAAATCTGATATTTAATGTTGAACTTTCTATAATGCCTCGGAACGTGAAACATTGGAATAGCTTTTTTCCTCAAAGTACTTCTGATTTCTGTTCAAGTTTCAAAGAATATCGTCTTTGTCTCGTCAAACAATGTGAAATATTTCTAGTGAGAAATTTCCGAGTGCAAAGGGTTAAAGGATTTGAAGCTTCCAGCAGACGAAGCTAAATTACGTATTCGACTTTAAAATAGCAAGAAAATATGATACATTGATCTCTCGCAATTTGAGTAATTACATTATTCGGTCGCAACTCGGTATTCTAGACCTAGAAATTTGATATCGCCGAAACGACGTCATTCGTCCTCGAAGGGTTAATCGAGGTCCTAAATTCATTCTTCCGACGAAACAGAACGATCTCGCAATGTACGAGGAAACGAACGAATTCTATACGAGCGCGCGCACACGTATTTCGCGTTTACATTCCGTGGCGTCTACCGTGCGGTCGCTCGTAATTGGAAAAGCTGTCTATGAGGCGGTCCCGGGGCCATTAGTAATCGCGAACGGGTGACTTTGCTCAGCCACGCGTGCGACGGACCGCGCGCACGCGCCGCGCTCGTCTCGTCTCGGTTCGGGTGTTATAAGGTATCAATTACTTGGCCACAAAGCAATTTCACAGTACAATGGCACTGGCCGTGATCCCCGCTCCGTTCCCGGAGCGGAACCGGCTTGCTACCGTTGTACCAATCGTAATAAAATCGCCGGCTCTGGTACATACTTTTGATTACGAGTTCCCTATGTATCGATTTCGGTTGTAGTCTACTAAGACTTCAGTAGGACAAAGTGGAAACGTCTCAGGTTACAGTGCCAGATTAATCCTGGCACTCGAATGTTTTTCACTAGAAATATTCAACGTTTTCCGATGAGATATAAACGACAAGTTGTTTTATTTCAATATTTCAGATACTGTAGTATTCAAAGCTTCATATTGTATATAAGACTTCATAAATTTGCTATGTCGAATCAAGTATTGACAGAGAGTCATCTTGTTTAATTAGAGAACTGTTAACTGGAAAGCTACGTACGCTGGCGTTAATATTACCGTTTACTTAAGTGCAATTACAAACAGAAGGTAGCGTTATGTCAGTCAGTAATATCGACGCTTCTGAATTACTTGAAAACTTAATTGAAAATGTTTAATAACGTAACTAAGTTGATAATAGTGTAATGCAATGATTGTAACACCGAATAATTGATAATTATTTCTGTTTTTCTTTGCTTCAAGGGAATAACTCTACGGTAAAACGGTCGAGATTTTCGTGGCGCTTAACGTGTTAATACGTTGACTGTCACGGGAATTTCTATCGTTTTGAATAATAATACTTATTCTTTAATAACAAAGGCAAATGATATTGAAAATAATTATTAACGATTTAGTACTACAGTAATCATATTACTCTATGATATAGCTACTTATGTTACTAAATAGTTTTATTGTAATTGTTCTTCAGCAATTCGGAAGGTCCGATCATCGGTGACCACCGTAGTCAACGTGTTAACACTAAAACTACCGAGCACTTCAATTGACTTTTGAAAATTTCGCTATAGAAACTCCAAGAGTGTATCTTTTCAGACTTTAATTGATTTACAATACAATTTGCGTAGTGCTAAATGAATTTCTTTAATAATTTCTCAGAGAAACATTTGTTACCTTTCTAATAATTGCGAAAAGAAGACATCAGGCATGGGTCATTTGACCCCTCTGGTAGTTTTAGTGTTAATCAGGTAGATAGTAAAGGAATTGTTACCTGCCATGTCGAGAATCTGCTGGACAATCGAGGTCGTTTCGAATGTTTCTTTATTTTCGATTCTCATTTGTGCGTTTCTCTTGTAGCGCCGTGGTCCGGCGCCAGCGTCAGCCGGATCATTGCTAGGACACTTAGCTACCTTGTCTGAGGACTCGTCGAGGGACTTCGGTAGCCCAACGAGCTCGACGACGATCAGTGCGGTTCAGTGAGAACGGGTCCGGAGGATTTTGCTTTTCGTTCTCTCGAATGAACTGACTACAAGTTCCCATTGCGTTGTGTGTCATGGGGAAACGTTGGGACTGTCGGTGATCCGTTCAAAAATACTCTCGCGGGGATTGATCGGTGAACAGTGAAATTTTCGATCGAGTCGGAGCATGATGGGAGAAGTGATCCGGGTTTCTGGGAGGGCACCTGACGTCGGAGAGTTCCTGAAGGAGGCGATGCTATCTCAGAGGTTCGCCGACGTCGCCCTTTGCTGTCCCGACGGTCAAAGGTTCCTCGCCCATCGTCTCGTCTTGTCGGCCGCTAGCCCTTACCTGCAGGTTAGTATTCTTTTTCTCTGTTTTGTTAACCCACTATGAGCCGAATTTTTTGTCGTGACTGTAACAAAATTTATCCAGTATGAAATGAATAGATATTAACTTATAAATACAAATTAACGATGTATTCAATAGACTTGATAATCTTATTAAAACGAACATATTTTATAACTTTGAAATATTGATGTTAACGTGTACGTCTGTGTGTATGAAAGTTTGTTGATTGATTATTTAATTTTCATTCGTCATTTTGTGGTAAAAGATTAGATCAATCAATTTAACCGAGTATATTGATGTGTGACCAAAGTCACAGGGGTCTATAGAGGGTTAATATTCCTTTATCCTTTTGGGGCGATAAACTTTGACGCTAGAATAACGAAATGAGTTAAAATCATCCATATTAGAGTTATGATAATATTGTTTTTTATATTTACATACTAGAGTCTTGATTATCCGATTTGACTGGACAACTAGCAGTCGAGATAAATAGATATTTAGAAAGAAATTGTTGACATTATTATAATATTGTATTTTATATTTACATACTAGAGCCTTGATTATCCGATTTGACTGGACAACTAGCAGTCGAGATAAATACATATTTAGAAAGAAATTGTTGACATTATTATAATATTGTATTTTATATTTACATACTAGAGCCTTGATTATCTGATTTAACTGGAAGAGTAACAGTTGAGATAAATAGATATTTGAGAAGAAATTGTCAAAATTGCATGTATTAAACTTGATCGTATACATTTCAATACATCTGAACGATCTAGATTGCACACAATAACGACTCGGTTAATTCAGGTTCTGCTGTTGATATCTTGAAGATGCTTTTATGAGAAGTCGTGAAACCTTAAGAAACGTACTTTCTAACTTGTATAAGAAATTGTAAATAAGTTATTTCGATCGACCGGTAATTCTAAGATTGGGATAAAGGCGCACACTGGTCGCACGGACATTTTCGTTAAAATTGTGGAGGTACTAATTGCAGATCATGCGTGATCATACCATCGGTTTCACGGTCCATCACTTTTATAGCGTTAGCAATAAGTACACAGGGTACGAGTATTTTCATCCGTGAAAATAGACTCGAAGAGATTCCGTCACCTCTGATCGGATACAATCGGAAATAACCGCGAGCTTTAAGATTAGTATCGTGAAAACCTCGAAGACATCTAATAACCCATCATCCAAGAGTCATTTGATGGCAACGGGTGATTATTCGTGTTGCGTGTGCTTAGCGTTTACTTATCAAACTAGGCAATCGACCATTCATTTGCAGTACCATATACAAACTGTTAAAGCAAACAGCTAATTTCTCTAACGATAAACAGTACTAATTACTTGTAACTTTCAAAATACACATTTCCCTTGTATTTAACGAGTAACGTCTACCTTAAAAATATATACTCGTAACTTGTACGTTCAAAAATGTCAACTTTACTTTTATTTAACGATTACTCGCTACCCTTGAAAGATTTTACCATTTTAAAAAAATCTGTATATGTACACTGTTCCAACCAAATACCGTAAGATGAGAATCTACCTTAACACTAGTTGTACGGACATTTATTATACGGTTTATTCTATAGTTCCCAGGAAGGTTGATGTTCGTTCGTTTAGATCTAGGAAATCAAGTGTTTAAAAATGTATTATTAGGAATTATAATCACGTAATTGAATCAATCAAAATCAACTCAAAAATTTATCAAATAATGTTTACAAAATTCAATATGAGTCAAATTGGCTCGTTCCGTAAATCTAGTGTTAAACTAACACTGATTAATAACACTAACTATCGTACCCGTCAAAATGGCGGGTTTCAGTTTTCTTATTTCACAGTTATTGATACATCGAAACCGTTCAATATTCAAAACGATTTGAAAAATAAATATTGGGTTGTCCGGAAAGTTCGTGCCGATTTTTGTTAGGTCGTGTAAGGACAGGTCTGAATATAATGCTCGTATTCTCGATCAGTCTTTTAATCTGATCTTCGTCTGTGGTGGAGGGGCTACCCCAGGCGTTCTTGATCTTCAAGGTTGAAATCACCAGCTTTAAACCTAGCAAACCACTTCCGCACTGTTCTTTCAGCTACAGCACCTTCGCAATAAACAGCGCATATCTTGTTTGCCGCTTGTGTGGCATTTCTGCCTTTCTGGCAAAAGAAAAGCATTAAATGCCTAAAATGCACTTTGTTTTCTTCCATATTCAAAGGCATATAAAACTGACGAAAATTAACGTATCGTAACGAAATTTTTTTCCAAATATGCCTGAAGTACCGTCTTTTACGATATGTACGCTTGTCATTTGTTTTCAACCATTCTGATATATTCAGATTTGTCCTTACGCCACCTACCAAAAATCGGCACGAACTTTCCGGACAACTCAATAGCTTCACGTGAATACTATAATAAATGAGTATATAAAGAAACGAGAAGAAGATCTGCTGTTACAGTTTCGATAAGATTCAGATATTAATCATATTGAATGCTCGGTAATTCCAGTGTTAACGATCTCAAAAAGACCTACCGCATTCCACGGTTGTTAATTTATTGGCCGCGAGGGAGTTAATGTTAACCGGGGCTCGTAAAAGCGGTGCAATCAGAACTCATAACAGCGATTTACCGAGATACCCTAACGCGATTCCACTGGCCGACGTAAAAACGGCGATTGTTTTGGCGATTGGCACGTAAATAACCCGTGCGTCGGTGCTAACGAGCGAGCTAGCACGCTCGTCGGGTGTCACGTGTATAGTCAGAAAGTCAGGAAACAGAAACCCGTAACAAGGCTCGTTATCTTTGCACCGGCGCGTATTAATTTAACTCACCTTTAGCGGACGCGAAAAAAGTGTGGCTTTATTCATGTATGTACCGCTAGTAGATCACTCGATGGCTACGCTGAGGAATTCGGTTGATCGATCGAAGTTTTCATTTTCATTCGTTTAAGTTTTCATTAGTTTTATTTTCTAATTTCTGATATCTCCGATCGCTAATTTATTACTCGTCAATACGATTACGCGTAAGCAATCAAAATTATGAAACTGTTAACTAAAAGACGCCTCATTCGTGCTCTTCTGCTAGATACTATTATTATTATTATTATTATTATTATTATTACTGTTATTATTATTCTATTGTTTTCATGGCCAAAGAATTTTTGTTACTTTATACTACTAAGCCCAATAATAAAGAAATTTATTATTTTAAATATGAATAGTTCAATCAAATGTTTTAACGATAACAACTGTTAAAAATTCAACAAGTGGTGTTAACCGATTTGGCTCATATGATACTGTGTATCTTTTTGTTCATTCTGTCTGAAGTTTTTGAAAATCATTGGTAACGGATTCTGAAGATTTTTCTGATTTTTGAAATTTATGATTCTTTTTAGTATGAAACTTGGTTTACGGAAAGAAATCGATATTTACCGTTTCAATGCGATTCGCCCGCCTTCGTTCCGATGGTTCAACGTGTCCGACTATAGACGACTGTTTCTACTTGAAGCAGCCAAAGCACGACTTGTTTACGAAGATAGTTACGAACTCGGATAGATCTAATGCATGTACAATTAAAAAGAATTCGAAGAAACAAGATTTTCTGATACGCAGCTCCCTTTTCGAACAAACGAACGCTAGCAAATTAATTTCGCGCGCTTTCTGCTTAGAACAAGTAGAAACGGTAGACAATGGACGGACGGTTTAACAGGTGGATCCATTCAGCAGCGATTTTCTCGCGAATAAAGCTTTATATAAATATATTTATTCTAAAGTTTAGATTTAATGTGCGTAATGGTCACCAATTTCTGTTATCAGTTAGTAGTGATAAACTAGCTCCCTTTATCAGTTAATAGTACAATTCAAAGGTGTGCAAAAGTGCAAACTTGTGTCAATTTCAAGCTAAAACTGTAAAAAGGGCAACCCACAATCAAGCTCGTCGGGATTACAAAAGCTGAACAGTAATGGTGAAAATAATAATTTCGAATTTTGGCTTCAGAGAATGATCTTTAAAAGATCCTGGTCTCGAATGGGCTAAGTAGAAGTATCCATTGATGGTCGGACGTTCGAAGCAAGCATAGTAACAGTATACAAACGCATCAAACTGATTCCACAAACAGATTTCCCAAAAAGTATATTCAAACTTCGATTCCCTTCGTGATATGAATCTTGAATCATCATTCCAATTGTGTTACCTTTTCCCTGTAACACTCTGTACATTACGCTCAACCAGAAGTTATCGGATACCTTTCAATTGAACAAGTCACACACACCGCTGCATACGCACCAAAAAAATCCACACGAATCAATCAATTCATTAAGGTTGCCTATTAGCCTAAGGTCCATCGAGAGAACAGGTCGTTACGGCTCGAACAGAACGAAACTCTGGAAACCGGAACAAACTGACGCGAGCCTAAATGAAGGAAAAATTAATTAATTTTCCACTTTGTACCGGGAAGCAGAGGTTTTTTCCGCCGCTTCCATCAGTATATGGTTCGGCCCGGTCGCGAAAACGACGTCGCCGTTGACACGGTCGTAGAAGAACGCGGTTTCCGGTTGTCAAAGCAGCAAAAGCTGTGCTCCAAATACGCGCACGGCGAGATGCGGTGCTTAATGGATCGGACTCCGAACAGCCTGCTTCTGTTCAAACATGGACAACTGGTCGCTGAGCGGCCATTAATCAGCCGAGGTTAGCGATCGGATCTTGTCCAGCGTCGCGCTTAAGTGGATGGATGGAAACAGTGAAAGCGAAGCCGATGGATCAATCTTAGAAAGCTTCCTCTTACGCAAGACCCCTGTTTGTTAAACGGCTGTCGTTTCGCGGGGCATTCCTCGGCCCGAAGATTAGGGGCCGCTTTACATGTCGATGCCAGATCTCGATGGTAATTCGCTTTGTTGCGCTGGATTGTTCGAGCAACAGTACCGATAATAAGGGCTTCGTTACGAGTCTGTGACGGAGGAAAGCGGTGACGTTGAAGGTTTAGAAGTGTACAGTTGGGAGA